TCTCTCTCTCTCTCTCTCTCTCTCTCTCTCTCTCTCTCTCTCTCTCTCTCTCTCTCTCTCTCTCTCTCTCTCTCTCTTTCTTTCTTTTTCGCTCCCACTTATGAGTGAAGGCATGTGGTATTTCTTTCTGTACCTGGCTTATTTCACTTAACATAATTTTCTCCAGGTTCATGAATGTTGCTGCAAATGGCAGAATTTCATTCTTTTTTATAGCTGGGTAGTATTCCATTGTGTATGTGTACCATGTTTTGCTTATCCAGTCACAAAGACCTCTTTTTCATTCACTAATATGTCCCTAGTGCCTAGCATAACGCCCGGAAATATCAGGCACCTTATATCTATGTGGTGGGTATGTGGATGTATGTATGGATGGATGGATGAATGAATGAATGAATCAAAACCAAGACAGTTTTAGACACACAGTGGACAAGTAATGAGTAGTGACTTGATTTGTGAAGGAAATTGGTGGGAGGCTAAAAAGTAGCTTTACTCTACGTTCTGTGAGTGATGGCATAAAGGAAAGTCTAGTGACTTCAGCTTGAGTTTCAAATTAATAGAAATAGTGATGAAGGGAATTGCCAATTTTTCCCTTATCTAGGACTATTCTGGGAATTTATGTCAAAGTTAAAATATGCACTTTAGTTCATCTTAAAAATATGCATTTCAGTTCAGATTCTTTATTATGAAATACTGTGTACTTTGAATTGTAGGGAGAAGTATTTTTATGTGTGTGCTATAGACATCTTAGGTTTTGTTCCCAAATTGTTTCTCTGCATTTTAGTCTTCCCATTGCCTTAACTAAACAACTTTAGTTAAAGCAATTGAGATAAAAGTAACAGATGCCTCCTGTGTCTTTTAATAGAATAAGTGTTGAGGAAACTGTGGTGATGAAGAACAGGGAAAAATAAGGAAAAAAAAATAAGGGCATTGAGAAATTATTTACATTATCTTAACTAAATAAGAGAAACTAACTTTGTAGGATCAGAGTGGAAATCTGTTTAAGATTGCAGACAGAAGAAAATGAAAGAAAAGATTAATAAAGTCCAGTAGATTAAATTTTTGACGTTCTGAATTGATATCTATTATTGAGTACCTATTATGTGACAAGTATAATGTTAAAGCATTCAAAAGAGAAAAAAATAGGACTGGCCAGTTAGCTCACTTGGGAGAGTGTGGTGCTGATAACACAAAGGTCAAAGGTTTGGATCCCTATACTGGCCAGCTGCCAAAAAAGAGAGAGAGAGGAAATGTAACAGTTATCAAGTACGTACCATGTACCCATCTTTACTTTTATCCTTTTCTTACAAATGAGACTGTTGTATCTCAGTGTAGTGGTGTAGTTGCTTGTGCAAGATCACACAGTGAATAAGCGTTGGAGCTAAGATTTAGAGACAGGAATATGGCGTG